TCTTTCCCGTTAACCCCCTTGGCAGGTCGGTCATTGGGATATATACACTTGGCATCATGTGAGGTGGCACCTGGCCGGGCAATTCTCTTTCCAGTATTTTGATAATTGGGGCAGCTTTGTCCCTCAATTGTTCAGGGCTTGTCTTGGGCATGAGTAGAAAGGCTACCAACATCGGGCGCTGGGTAACTTTTGGCGTGACGATTTCGGCGACAACATCTGCCACGGCCGGTATCCAATGAAGTACTCGACAGATATGATGTTCGACGTCCCCTAGCTCCGTACGCTGGCCATGAATCTTGACCTGGGTGTCCTTCCTCCCAAGGTAGATCAGTTCACCATCAGGAGTGTAGCGTACCAGGTCCCCTGTTCGATAAAGACGTCCGCGACGGCCCTCCATTCCTGCACCGCCACGGAGTAACCAACTTGGATTCTCAATGAAGGCAGCTGCTGTCTTCTCGGCGTCGTTTAGATATCCCGCTCCAACCAGTGGTCCTTCCAGGAGCAACTCTCCGGTCAGCCCGACGGGCGTAAGGGCATCCTTGTTTGGGTCGGCAATCCAGGTCGTTGATCCAAGCGCCCATCCAATGGTGGCCTTGGTAGTCCCATCGTGATCGACAACACCCGTTGTAGTTACTGTACACTCGGCCGGTCCGTATGTGATGATCGTGGTTTGAATGTTTCTAAGTTGCGGCAACTTGTGCAAGTCTACGACCTCGCCGCCAAGGGTAACAGTGTCAAGTGTTGGCACTTTGTCCAAGTCCAGAATCGCGGCGACCGATGGTGTAAGGTGTACAAAGGTCACCTCATTCTTGATCATGTATCCAATGAAGTCGTGCTTTCTGTCGTGTTCTGAGGGTATGCATAGGCAAGCTCCGGCCGCGAGTGTGTGGATGAAATCGGACCATGATACATCAAAGGCGTACGAGCAGAAACCTGCGACTCTTGCTGTCGGTTTGAAGTTCAGGTACCTGTTCTGGTGCTTGCTTGCTGATGTGAAGTTTGAATGTGTTATTGCCGCACCTTTCGGGTTACCTGTGGTCCCGGAAGTAAACACAACGTAGAGCAGGTCGCTCGGCTTGACGACGGGCAATGTTGTCCCAAAGCCTCCATTTTGTCTCTGCTCCGGCAAGTCTGACACAGTGTCCTTCTGTACCACGAAAACGTTCCGTTTGGTAATAAGAGAAACCAGAGGAGCTGTTGAAGGTGCACATAGAATAAGGCCAGGCCCTACAATGTCGATGATCGTCTTGATGCGTTCCTTGGTCTGCGATGGATCGATCACCACAGACGCCGCGCCAGCCTTCATGACAGCAAATTGAGAGACTGTCACCCACATGGACTTTTCGAAAATCAACGGGAGTACATCTCCAGGACGCACACCCGTTTGGATGAGGTGATGCGCCAATTGGGTGGACAGCGTGTCCCACTGGCTGTAGGTCAACTCACCATCCCAGGCACTTATGGCGGTCTTGTGTGGATATTGAGAAACGCTCTGGGAAAATAGATCATGAACGCATCCCTTTACCTCCTCGGGCACCTTCACGTTCCATGTCCAGACTCGGCGTAGGTCTTCCGCAGTCATCGCGTCT